TTTAAATTGTTTGAAATTGTTAAGTTATATATATTTCAAACTCAAAAAAAGTTTATTATTTGTTCATCACAAATCATTTTTATTGTTGCACTGGCTGGACTATTAGTTCAGAGTTTATCTTTCTCTTTTCAATATAAAGAGAAAAAGATAATCTAGTCTTGCCTATCAAAGTGCATTCAGCACAGCAATAAAAAACAGCAGAGCTTATGTTAACTAATGCAATCTAGTGTAGCTCGTATAGCAATAAAAGCAACAATGTAAATAACTTACTGCGACATCGTACAGTAAATCTCTTCTAATAGTTTCTGATACACAATTTCTGATACACTCTTGACACGCTTATTTCACATATATCTACAATTATAAAAAATACACAATTAGCATATACAATATTCAGTTTACTCGCATTGCTTGCACTTCTAGCATCTAGATTCTTTGGGTTTATTTTTTATTCCTGCACTAGCTTCACTAGGCTGTATTAATTCAGAGTTTATCTTTTTTTTTATAGTATAAAATGAAAAGATAGCTTCTGAAATAGTAATCTTATACAGCCAATGCCAAGAATAAAGGTTAAGTGCAGATGCATTTTATTTTATTTTCTACAAAAACAATTCGTCAAATCCACATTATTGTCACGTGGATTCTACGAATTTTTATATAAAACCCACGTGACAAAAATGTGAATTTTACTACTATTTTTGTGAGGTTATTCATACACTGGCTACAGCAAAACAGAAGTTCAAGCAATATGAACACGTACATTATCTATTATTTGATAAATATAATATTGAATAATATTGTTACGTCCTCGCGACGTCTCTTGCGCTGTCTCACAAAAAGATATCACTCACACTCTCACTCGCGTCCGGAATGAATAAATTCTCGTAATGAGGAAAGGAGTTTTAATGAAACGACCCAATACAATAAAGCAAAGAAATACAATATATAATAGGCCAAAATGCCCATCGGTCTCGTAAGCGTCCGCTCGGTGCGACAGCTAGATCAAATCTAATCATGGCGCCCCAAAACATTTGAACGCCGGTTGTCTATAAACAACCCTCCTAGGAGATGGAAAGGGATGAAGGTGCTCAGGGGATGTAAACCAGGGACGTAACACTGCCCCCCTTCTTCAAGATTGTCGTCCCGACAATCAGGAACAGGGGGCTATCCAACGCTGTCCAATAACTCTGCATTCCGATGCCGACCTCAGGACTCAGACGAATTTTCCTGTTCTACCCTGGGCTCCTGCCACAGGTTACCGAACAATCCGCCATTCTGGATCCCGTCGCACATCCACACAAGTTATCGTCGACTCCAGGGCACCGACGAGCCTTCCTGCTCTACCCTGGGCTGCTGCCACAGGTTACCAAGCGACTTCGTCATTCTGGTTCCAATCGACCGACAGTCCAACGTCGACTCCAGGGCTCTAACGAATCATCCTGCCCTACCCCGGGCTGCTGCCACAGGTTACCGGGTGATTCGCCAACTCAAACCCAATCGACCTCCGATGTTTTGTTTTCCACGTCCTGATTTTCCTGCGACCTCGTGAAGAATTTCAGACAAGGGGGGGGGGTAACTTCCGTGGACCCATCGTCCCTTATGGACTCCCCAAGTCCCTGCCTCGGCATTTGCCCGAAGTCCCGCGGGAAAACCACGGATCAAAAACCGCGAGAGAGGCAGTCTTCTTAGAATGAACTGAAGACGAAAACCCTTCTTCCTGGAAAGCTCAGTTCGAAAATCGACCTCTCCGCCATATCCAGAAAACTCCGTTTCTCCCCAAAACAGAATCGCAAACACTCCTTTAATCGAAACCTCTCCCTCGAGTGAAATTTCTCTTCTTCGGAGATTCTGAGAGTTGATCTAAAATATCGTCAATCCTGGGAAGAGGATATGAATCTTTTACCGTCTCATTATTCAATTTTCGATAATCGATGCAAAATCTTATACTGCCGTCTTTCTTTTTTACCATAACGGCCGGAGAGATCCATGGACTTCGTCATTCCTCTATAACTCCTTGTTCTTTCATGTTCTCAATAATTTTATCTACTTCCTTCCTTAAATGAATGGGAATTCGACGAGGTGCCTGCTTAATGGGGAGAGAGTCTTTTATGTTAATAACATGTTCTACAACACTACAGTTGCCAGCCACAATGTTTTCAGAAAATACATCAGAGAAATCATTTAAAAAGTTTGCAAAAGTTTCTTTCTCTGTTTCTTTCAAATTCAAAGAATTATTTTCAAAAAGATTTTTTAAAATAGTTGGAACTTTACAAGAGTTTTCAATTCTAGAACAATTAAAAGTTTTATTTTCTTTTGACTCTAATTCATTAAATTCATTATCAAAAATATTTTGTAAATTAATCTTTTTAAGAAAGTCTGTTCCCAAAATACAATTATCATTTATGGCGGCGACAAACATAGGAATAGAAACACAATATCTTCCAATCTCTACTCTAACTTCTACTAGAAAATTAATTAAAACTTTTTCTCCTGTAGGATATTTCAAATTACAATCTTCAATTTGAATCTTTTCTACATCCTTATTGAACAATTTTTTATTTACAAGTGAAACATCAGAGCCCGTGTCTATTTTCAAAGAACATTTTTTACCGTTAATCTTTCCGAGATAACAAAAATCATTTTCTCTAATTCTACCAACACTAAAATCTACAAATCGATTCGATATCGGGGCTTTTTCGGAAAAAGTCGAGCTCCCCCCGCACAGCTCAACTAAACCGCGTTTCCCTTCTCCTCAGGACACTCAAATCGAAAATGTCCCGTTTTACCACACGTCCAACATTCTTTGCCCTTTGAGGAAAAATTGTTTCTTCACCATCCCCCTCTCGAAGGATTTCTATTTTCATGATCAGATTTTCGCGCGCTATTTTCATGGTTCTTATTATCGTTCCCGTATTTTTTATCAAAATCCTTTCGCGCGTCGTTCCTCTCCACCTTATGGAAATTCGCGCTGTTAAATTTTCCGAAATTTTCCTTCTTTCTTTCAAAATTTTCCCCTTGAATAGTTTTTATAATCTTTGCCCTCTCAACGGCCAAATTTAAAGAGGTTATCCCCTCTAATTGAAGGGTCCTCCTCAAGAAACCGTCATAGAGAGCAGAGATAAATTGCGCACACGCGATTTTATCCCTCATCGCGTAAGGACATTCGGGATATGCGAGTCGCGACAATCTTTCTAATTCGGCACCAAAAGAAGCGAGATCCTCCCCGAATTTTTGTTTCCGATTCGTGAATAAAGAATAATAGTTTTGAGTAAGATTTCCCTCCCCAAAAAGTAATTCTAATTTTGATTTTAATTCAGTAAAACTGAGGTTATCTAAATTTTCTATATTTTCTAACACAGTTCGCGCTTTTCCTCTTAAATTCGCGGCTAAAGCAACGGTCTTCGCGGATTCGTCCCAATTATTCGCGCGCGCGACCAAAAGAAATTGGGAGAGAAACTCCCGCAGCGGAACTTTCCCGTCAAATGTATCGGGTTTTACTTTAAAACTGATTCTCGCGCGAAGATCACTACTAATATCTCCACAAGCTCTATTATCGGAGTTACAAGCGATATTATTGGGAGGACTTAGCTCGTTTTCATTCCGCGAGGCGATTCTCTGCTCTAGCCGGCGCAGCTCCTCGTCGCGTTGTCGCAGCAAAGCTTCGAATTGCGTGCGCTCCTGTTCTCGTTGTTCTCGCAGCTCTCTGATTTCCCGGAGCGCAGTTTGCAGCACATTTTCCTCCGAAAGAGTCTCCGTATTCGATGGTGTTCGCAGCGGAGCTTGTGAACGAGTTAGTCTGGGCGAATGTTGGGTGGTCATTTTCCTAATTATTTTTCGTAGCTCGTTGTTCGTTCGATCCCGGACGAGCCCCCTATTACGTCCTCGCGACGTCTCTTGCGCTGTCTCACAAAAAGATATCACTCACACTCTCACTCGCGTCCGGAATGAATAAATTCTCGTAATGAGGAAAGGAGTTTTAATGAAACGACCCAATACAATAAAGCAAAGAAATACAATATATAATAGGCCAAAATGCCCATCGGTCTCGTAAGCGTCCGCTCGGTGCGACAGCTAGACCAAATCTAATCATGGCGCCCCAAAACATTTGAACGCCGGTTGTCTATAAACAACCCTCCTAGGAGATGAAAAGGGATGAAGGTGCTCAGGGGATGTAAACCAGGGACGTAACAATATATATGTGTCATTTACTTACATTACCTGTATATTCTTAAAAGCAGCTATTGTATCCTCCGCTTCGGAAATTCGATCCGCCCATGGCAGGTTATAAACACAGCACGCGCGAACGAACTTTTCAGGCTCGATAATGAACACTATACCGCCGAAGATTTGTGTGTGTGTGGTTTCTCTTTTCCTCTATATTTTTTGAAAATTTTTCGTTTTCTCGCTTCTGCCAGATATAAATCGCCCTTCGATCAATTCAAGCACGTGTGCCGTGTGCGTCGTACAGAACGTGTTGCTTACAAGCACTCGAGCGCCGTTTTCAGTGATGCCACTCGGGAGAGGCCGAGAGGCAACAGTATACGCGCACACAAGTGCGATCGTCATACGTGTATTACACATACGACGATCGCGCTTGTGTGTGCGTGCTGTTGCCTCTCCTAAGTATGGCATCACTGGCCGTTTTATCTACGTTTAAGGCGTGTTTCTATTTTATACGACAAGGCGCAAGACGGCCGCGGCATAAAGTACGTTTTACATTAGTTACGTCGCAGTTTTAAGTGGAAAGTCAAGTAATTGATAGTATAGTTACATCTTGCCACAAGAGGAATAAACGACTAAAAAATGCACATAAAGAAAAAGGTATATTTATAAAATTATTACTTATTATTAGATCTTAGGATCTGCTTTTTATTCCTGCACTACCTTAACTCTAGGCTGCACTAATTCAAAGGTTATCTCTTTCTCCCTATGAGAAATTTTCTTTTACTGGAGGATACACATGATTGTTTTACTAATATTTTGTTTAATATTTTTTTTAGAACGAGATACAGACTGCAGTGCAAGATAATAAACGTGATGATGTGATTAGTCCGAGCCTTTTATTTCCACGACTGATAAAAGAATCGAAGAAAGGATTAAAAAGTCACGAGAAAAAGCATGCAGTAAACAAAAATGTTAAAACAAATTCAATAGATTTAGATAACAATATAGAAAACAAGCCACCTACTGCATCACTGGCTAGGTATGATATGTGTGAATATTTATTTATGGTATTTAATATTTGGTAATAATGTAAATTTCTGTTACATAAATATCTCATTGAAGTATCTTATATTTACAGATTGCAAAAGAAAAAGAAGAACATTAACGAGTAGATTAATATTAACATGCGATCCAAAGCTCAGAGATCAACGTTAAATGGTTGGGATTGTTGGGAATGTGAAAAAGTAAATATTAATATTACATAATAAAATCTAAATAGTTCCCTCTTACTTTATACATTTTTTTATATATATTATAAATCTCTTTATAATATTTATTTTTATATATAATTTCTAGTATTACAAGAGTCTATCTTTGTCTAAAACAGAGTTACAGAAGCGAAAAAATAAATGCTCAAGACATAGGAAGAAATATGAGAGACCACATACACCAAAAGGTATATATAATGTAGATATATTTAATATATATGTTTCTATATATATATATATATATATATATATATATATATTTTAGGGTGTCATTTTAGAGCAACATTTTTTTTCTTGCTCCTACCCGAAAAACTTTTATGATATAATTAATAAAAAATCCTCGCGAAAGCGCAGCTTTGTACGTCAACATTTAGAGGTCGCGCAATATGCTTTTATTTTTCCATTTAATTAACATGGGAAAGTTTTAATATTTTGCAAAACTGGTATATCTCAGCCGGATTATACGTTAAAATTATTTTAAATACATGGTTTTGTAGGAAATTGAATTCCCTACAAAAAATGTAATATGATCAAAACTTGTAAATTCAACGGCTTATCCGTTACATTCGTTTAACTGAATTGGAAGATTAACGAGTATAACGGGTAAACCGTTGGATTTACAAATTTTGATCAAAGTACATTTTTTGTAGGCAATTTAATTCCCTACAAAACCATGTATGTAAAATAATTTTAACGTATAATCCGGCTGAGATATACCAATTTTACAAAAATTAAAACTTTTTTATGTTAATTAAATGGAAAAATAAATAAAATGAAAGCATATTGCGCGACCTCTAAATGTTGAGGTACAAAGCTGCGCTTTTGCGAGGATTTTTTATTAATTATACCCTAAAAGTTTTTCAGGTGGGAGCAAGAAAAAAAATGTTGCTCTAAAATGACACACCCTAATATATATATATATATATATATATATATATATTAATTTATTTATTTATAAAATGTTTTTTTTTAATTCAGAATTGAAAAAGTATACCTGTACGATCAAATATAACAGGAAAGTGTATCGAACATCCATCTTCATTGTTCAATGAAATTTCAGTAAATGATACATTTTGTGCTTTACTTGTACTGATGAGAGATTTTTTTTGTGTCTTATTTATTTGTTCCTCGAGATTAATATCAAAATCTATTTCTTGTACTTTATTTATTATTTTACATGAAGGTCCTGGATTCATGCGTTTATTGACGTCTTTTTCTAAAACAAAATTATTTTATTTTATTTTTTAAAAATATTTATGAGTGTCTCATAACACGCATTACATCTTTCATGAGCAGATAGAAAGGACTAAAATTAATCAAAAAGTTTTGTAAAATTTTGTAATGTTTGTAATAATTAAAATGTATACATTCATTCGCAGATCTTTACATAAATTAATTTCTTGTTAATTATTGCAAAAATTGCAAAATATTTTTCTAGTCAATTTAATCCATGTTTTTTACTGCACGAGTAGTGTGCTATTCCTTTATCGAACACTCTGTGTGTATGCGTGTGTACATTGCGTACACACAGGATGTCTAATGAGATGTGTGTGTAAAATATTTTTTACATGGATTTTGAAAACTTACTTGTGTTATCAGAATCAGGTAGAGTAGGAAAATCTGCTGAATTTGAAATTTCATCATCCGATGAACTTTCATTAGTTGATAAACTTTGTGATTCGTTTGTATCATAAAGATATTTTTTCTTTTTCCGAATTCTTTTTCTTTCAGGATCTGATGTCAAATCTGATGTGTCTTCTGCTGTACACGTCTTTGCTCTTGCTTTTACTAAATCATCTATAACGAAAGAATGCAATATATAGTATGCGTAATAATTACTTATAAAACAAAAATAAATATGACAACTAAATGTTTTATAATAAATTAATTCTTTAAATATCACTTACTATAGGTACGTTCACTTCCCACTTTTCGAATTGTTGAGGAGCTTCAAGAAATCAGGTTGAAAAGAAAAACTGAATAAGTATGCACGAGAAACGTGGTATACGTTAGCATGGCTTTATTGGTACTGAACTTTTTAGCTAAGAGACAAAGGATAGCACGCACGCTATCTGTATCAAATATTATGTGTGCGCTTGCGTCAGGTCTGGTTACGAAAAACGAGACACCTGAGACGCGCGAAAACTTAATTTCTAACACTCCCGCCGTTTGAGTGCGTAACAGCATTGATCAGCCCCAAACATGAACATAGATTATCAAATTGATTCTTTGGCAGTGCTTTGGTGAATATATCTGCACGTTGCAGATTCGTTGGTACATATTGCACTGAGATATCACCGTTTTTTACCATCTCTCTAATATAATGATACTTAATATCTATATGTTTAGTGCGTTTGTGGAACTCCGCGTTTTTGATTAATCGAATTGTACTTTGATTATCAATAGCTAATACTGTTGCACTCTCGGATAAGAATCCTAAATCACTCGCCAGTTTTCGAAGCCATATGGCTTCTTTTGCAGCCGCTGCTGCCGCCACGTACTCGGCTTCCGTGGTGCTCAACGTCACAAGTTTCTGACGTTGGCACGACCACGTTACAATGCCGCCTGCAAGACAGAACGCATAACCCGTGGTTGATCGCCGAGTGTCTACATCACTTGCAAAATCGGAGTCGCAAAATCCGACGAGTTCAAATTTGCTCCTGCCGTTTGTGTACAATATCCCGATCTCGACGGTCCCGACAAGGTAACGAAAGATGCGTTTAACGGCTTGCCAGTGGCTTTCGTTGTACTTACTTACATATTTGCTCATCGAGTTCACAAAGTACGCGATGTCTGGCCGTGAAACTACCGTGAGAAACATGAGGGAACCTACTGCCTCTCGATATGGCACTATCATAGCATTCTCTTCGACCGATTCGTTTTTAGTTAATATGGTATGAGGATCGGCCGGCACACCCATTGCTTTTGCATCGCTCATTTTAAACTTGTCGATTATACGACGAGTATAGGACCCTTGGTGAATGAAAAGAGTTTTATTTTCTCTATCTCTTTCTATTTGTATCCCGACAAAGATATGACCATCACCTAGGGTGATTTCGAACACGCTTTGCAAAATTTTAATTATTGGCTCTAACACACGACGCGATTTTACTGCAATTAACCCGTCGTCCACAAACAACGCTAAATATACTTCGTTGTCCTCAACACGACCCTGGAAGATGCATTTATCGGCCCTGCACTCTTGAAAGTCGAATTTTTTAAGAAAACTGCAGAATCGCTTGTTCCAACACCGAGGTGCCTGCTTGAGACCGTATAATGACTTATTCAATATACATACATAGTCACGACCTTTTCCGTTTTCGACCTTGAAACCCTGAGGGATCTCCATGTAGATATCTTCACTGAGTTTGCCATAGAGAAACGCAGTTCGCACGTCAAACTGCATGAGCTCCATGTCCTTTTCTGCCACCATGGCAAGCAGGACTCGTAGCGAGTCGTATCTCACGACCGGGGAGAATGTTTCCGTGTAATCCAGACCCTCTTTCTGCAGGAATCCTCGAGCGCAGAGTCGAGCTTTGTGTCGATGTCTTCCCTGACGTGTCTTGTAGCGTCTTGAACACCCACTTAGAATCTATGGGTTTTCGATCGTGCTTCCTCGGCACGATTGTCCACGTTTCGTTTCTTTTGTGTGCCTCGAGCTCTTCATCGACAGCCTTGCTCCACTCTTCGACCTCTGGACTGTTCATTGCCTCCTGAAACGAACTGGGTGGATTAGTTTCGGCAATATCAATATCAATTTGATACCTTTTCGGCGTCTTGAGTACACTTCTGTCTCGGAGTTGTCTCGGAGACGTATTGCTCTGTCTGGCATTGACTTGTGCCGCCACTTGTGGCCCTGCTTGTGGTACTGCTTGTATTTCTTCACCAGGATTCGGTTCGTCAACTTCTTCTTCTTGGACGTCCTCGATGTCCTCTTCTTCATTGACAGGAAACGTGTACTCCTCGATGTCTTCTTCTCTCGTTGTCATCGGCTTCATGAACGATCCTTCTTTGAAGATCACATCTCCTGACACTGAGACTCGCCTCGTACTTGTATCATACAGACGATAATTGGGCGAATCGCCTTGATATCCGACCATGAGCAATTTTTTCGCCTTTGGGTCAAATTTCTTCCAAAACTGTTTATCTATATGCATGTAAGCCTCGGAGCCAAACACTCGGAGATGAGACAAGTTTGGTGTCCTGCCCATCCATATTTTATACGGTGTTTTACTGTTGCTTGTGCTGGATACAGTTCTATTCAGCACGTAAACTGCTGTACCGACCGCTTCAGCCCACAGTGAGAGCGGCAGATTCTTGGCTTGGATCATTGTGCGCGCACTTTCAACAATGGTCCTGTTGTCGCGTTCCGACTTCCCGTTCTGTTGTGGAGTATAAGGTGCGGTGGTCTCAAAGATGATTCCCCGAGCAGCAAGATATTGTTTGATTTCATGATTAGAATACTCACGCCCGTTGTCAGAGCGCAGCGTCTTTATTGGTCGTCCAAATTTGTTGGCGACGAGGGTCTCAAATTCTTTGAATCGGGCGACAACTTCTGACTTGTGTTTAATAAAATAGGCGTAGCGAAATCCTGACGCATCATCCTTAAATGTGACGAAGTATCTTGAGCTCCCTGGGGACTCGACCGACATTGGCCCACAGACATCCGAGTGTATTACTTCGCCAGGTTGTGTGCTTCTCTTTGTCTCTTCCCGTTTAAACGCTAGCCGGTGTGATTTTCCGAGAGGGCATGTATTGCAAAAGAAGTCGTCTACGTCAGATAGCTTTACTCCACGAATCACACCCCTCTTTATCATGTCCTTAAACACTCGAGAGTTGACATGTCCCATGCGTTCATGCCACACGCGTAAACTAATCGTTGACATGTTTGCTTCACAACTGCCACGTGTGCCTTTTACTTTAAAGAACATTCTGTATATTT